CGTGCGAGTTGGCGAGAGCAGTCTGGAAGAAAAGCAACCTGCATTAATCGGCCATACCGCCGGCCATTATCAGCCACCTGAGTTGACACAATCGAAAGGTTATTCATCCAGTGTGAACATAGCAGTGCATAGTGAGCACTCAATTTCAACTGTTCTCGACCAAATAGTGCTGCTACGGAGGAAAAGTATGGTACCATATTCTGTGCACTTGAATCGTCAACTAGCTGCTGCCTCGTCTCAGGCCGCGCAGGATGATGTGCAGCATTGAGCAGTGGTGTAGAACTTTCGGCAGTATTACGAACTGTTCTCAGGTACTCAAACAAATAACCAACCGTGATGTTAGAAAAAAACTTTCTGTGTCCCCATTATAGTGCATTGTAACTTGGTGAATTTTATTTCGGAACAAGTGCAATGTAGTGGAGAGGGTGCGTGCTCAGCAGCTCAAACACACGCGTCATGGGGCGCGATCTGGTTGGAATATATTTGAAAACATATTCGTGTGTGGTTTAGCGAGAGAGACATTTGTCCACTCGGTGAAATTGCAAGTTTGAAGACACTAGTTGGAAATTCATGAAGCTCACGCACAGAACCACTCCATGGCACTTATTGGCATGGCGATTGTGTTCGCTTGTTCGTCTATATCATTCACGCACTTTCGTTATTCATCACGATTTTTTACACGTTCAATCACACACGCGTCCGCGTCATGCAGGCAGGTTTATTAAGCGAAATATCTGGACCGCAACCAATTTCCAGTACTAAACTTAGGGGACAAAAAAGCAGAAATTCGATGACCAGTATCGGGTGGGCGACGAAGGTCCTGCAGCCACGTTGTATGAATCTCATACTGGCCACCCACTTTACGCCGGGTAACACGACCAAAATCACTCTCCCCACATCACATTGGATTGCGACGTCATGCCGTATGTTCTGGTGAGATGCAATGTTAATTGTGTACGCAATAAAGACAACCATAGGCAGTGGAACCTCAGTCCCCTTCCCACAAGTCAACGATAGATCTACCAGACGTGCGCAATGACTTCATAACCACTGAGGAAGAAGAATGTCATTCCACATACTCGGAAACTTCCTCCGTGCTCTCCTATAACATCATGCATTCTTCCATTTGTCTACCTCGTCGAAGACCCTCATTGCTGCCCAGACGCGTATTTTATCTCAACCTTATTTTTTCCCAATGTGTTTTTGAAGAGATATTTGGCTGGTTTGCATGGAATATATGCTCGTAAAAATCTGCGACGCGCCAGCCATGAATTGCACCCGCTGACAAAGGCAGTGTTTCGAAGATGCCGCCCCAGCGCCAAATGGACTATTTCACGGTCGATCCGGTTAAATCAAACCGCATCCTTTCGATTTGGAAAGAGAATCTTCGATCGTGTGGTCGGATTCCAAATGTCATCCTGATCGGTAATATTCTGAATCACAACTGTGGGGACCACATCCGGACATCTTGAAGGCTGTGCGCTACACGAAAAAAAGCGTTTACCGTAGATGATATGACTGACCTCGGTCAGATGTGAGCAGGGTCGAAACTAGTATAAGTTAGTCATATTTCGATGATGTTTCATGTGAGCAAGCTTTTCTCCACCTAAACATGCTTCAACTGTGTTCTTCATCACAGTTTTTCGTAACGGAGCAAAGTAATTCCATCAGTTTGGCTAACGATAAAATTCTTACATATGCGGTCATCGAAATTGGTGTTTCGGGAGCCCGATGTGGATTAACCTTTAAATTCGTCTCGTTGCCAAATGTACTTAGATGTCTGTGCGATTCTGAATCTTGCTTCCCTACCTCAGCCTTTCTCCGGCGATACAAATTCGGTGGCATTCAGTTTGATCCCCTCTAGTTCAAAGAAGCTTGGACAAATCGTTTCAACGTGAGTTCAGTAATAAATTACTCCTCAGGTTCTTGAGTGGTTCACACAATTTAGGTTATTTCATAATTCTCTGGTGACGTACGTATGAGTCCACTTTGAAAGTGGTAGTAGTGCGTCAGAAAACGTCAGATGCGTTCGTTGAATGAAGCCGCCCAGTGGTCTGTCTGGCTTATTCCGCAGGCTAGTTCCCTGATAGTGAACGCTCTCATATAGAAAAAAACCCGTTCCTGGTTGGTCAAAAAGCATTCGTCCAATCGTGACGTTAGATGAGTTGGCGGTGATTGTTTAAGAACGCGTTGGGTACCTGTTAACACACTCAGCAGGTTTTGACGGACAAACATGCTACGGTGCACGAGGGTAATTCTGGTGGTCTTGGGACCTAAGTTGAGTATGCGAGGTAATGTGAAGCGACATGCCTCCCATTAGGTGGATCACATAAGTATCATTTTCCGTAACGAAATTAATGAAAAATGTTCCCCGCTCTCTGTGCACTCACATTTCGATTGGCTTGCAAGCTATAAATAATAATTGCATTGATACTCTTCCAGTATACCTGTTGCCAGCAGACATGGAGGGGCAGAGCCAAACTACCTGTAAGTTGCATACCCATTTAAAATAATTAATGGTTAGTCAAACCAAATGAATTCAAACTCAGCTAATCGACCTCGTAGATAGTGGCACCACTGGAATATAAAGCGAGCCCTTCAATCTGCAGGTTTCTGGTCGCTTTGTCAGACCGAAAAATTGGTTCCTCCTAATCCATTTGGATGTTGCAGAAAAAGGAAAGGGGCTGCGTGAGGTCGCATCATTTTCTTTTATGTAGTAAACCAATTAGCCACGGTCCGTAAATCCAAAGCGAGCAAGTCCCCAGAAACAGTTGATACACTTCATCTCTGTGGATTTGTGTGTGTTGACAAAGGTCGCTGATTATTTTTTACGTCAACTGCCTATGAGCTGGTATATATGCTGCATTCATTCACGGGTATTCCATTCAAAAATCGACCCCGTATTCTCAATTCCCATTAGGTGTTTGAATCCGCTGTTATTCAGCTTTGAGATGCTCACAAGATTCGATAATGCTGCCCGAAGGTCACACTCTAGCCGCCTATTTCATATCTTATAGTCCGGTTTGGTCAGGTAACATAATTTCTTCTCAGCAGAGTGCCCACGGTCATACTTTTGAGTGCTGAGCAGTCTAATCATAGGTTACAAGAATTATCTGTGGTCAATTGTTCTGAATTTTCACTAGTTTCATACTAGCAAAAGCAATCACTTGGCCAGCAATTGGAAACAATCTCTTAAAAGTAGAAACTTTCCAACAATTTTCATGGGAAGTCTCCGTGAGGATTCACCAGTGGACAAGCAATTTAACACAAGATGATTTGACACAAAGTCCTCGATTTAAGGATGCCGTTAAAAGTGCCAGTTTGTCATTCTTTTTGGGTTAATCATGACCAGATGCTTTACAGCTTGACGGTAAACAGAAATGTCACAGGTATTAAACACCCAATTATCGTGTGATGCTCAGTGCTGGTTACGTCCGGTAGGCAAGGAGACGCTTGACCTGTTCCTTGGCGTCGCCGTGATCACCAAGCAAAACTCACGATCACCATTTCAAGTGGATTTGTCCACACATAATCCGCGCTTGTCTTTGTGTCAGCTGCTGCTGAATCAGACCACAGATTCTGGATTAGTTCACCATCGCTGCAGTTATAAATGACAGTGTGATACTGCAATTTCATACATTTTATTAACTACGGCACGCATATATGACGCATAATGAATCATGTTTTGGAAAATGAGGCTCATTGGACCGTCATGTCTGGTTGATCAATCTGTAAGCGAGATGTCAATTGCGGATGACCAGCTGCAGATAAGACGATACGCACTCATCTCCTGGAGACACCAAGAGAGAACAACAAGATAACTCCCCGCTAATAGAAATTTCTGCAATAACTCTTTTCGGAGCATGCAGTTTTGCGTTTGGCAACGACATGCTTTATTCCCCACAGAAAGTTCCCTGAAGCAAACCCGATCTCTAGAGCTGTCATGCTAATGCTCTGAATAGCGCGAATCGACGTGCACGATGCCCTCTGCGGCAAATAGCTCACAAAACCACAAATCAAACTATTGCAGCATTGCCTGTTATTGAATTTTCGTGTGTGAGAAACGGGACACAAGATCGGTATAGTGCTTAATGCATTTTCATTAAAATTGGTCAGGTGTGCATTCAGCTGTGTAGTTTTCAATGGTCTTTTTTTCCTCCGGGTGTGATTGAAAGTCAAAGGTGAGTTTGAACATTGTGAATATTTATTTCATGCATTCACAATGGACTTGCGTGCGTCATATTTGATGATAGCTGATAAATGCTCTCCTGGGGATTCTATGTTGCCGGCAAATTTGTGGCAAACACAACTGTTAGCTGGCAATATGGGAGAACAACTGATGTTTCGTTTGCAGACGGTAAATTCCGCCAAGTTTGTCCGGAGAAAAGTGGTCCACTCGAAAATATAACCGACCACCGTCAAACTCACGTGTACAAAGCTGATATACTCTCAGGTTGTCCATGTTAAGACACAAATATTCGAGGTGCTGTAGCCATAATATTGCTCCAAAATCGGACCTAGCCTTCAGTGACTTCGTACTACTGAGCTATACCTGGTTCCGTTTTTTACCCTCAGTATTTTTTGGAATCTTTGGCGACTGTCGTATTTCAGACTGAACACAAACATGCTTTCAACAATAAGCGTGTCGTTGGGATATTGTTGAAATATGTGAAAGTGTACTTTTAAAAAGCCATTGTGTTCGGCGTGGTTATGCATGTTAGGAATATAGGACCACAGTGATCAGCGTTCACAAGTCGCAAGGACAAACAATAATGCAACTGATCACCTAGTGTGTTCTCGTGCCATGCATTGATATATTTGCCAATTTGTATGTAGATTCTCCTTTCCTCTACTGTTTTTCTTCTTTGTGGATATTATGTATTGCTATTTTTATAAAGTGAACACGGGAACAAAAGTTAATGATGGATACTTACATGCATTCGGCAAATGCATAAATCCAGAATGCCAAACAGGTTTTCCGAATTTGTGCATGTGACTTGGAAAATAGCAGTTTTAAATATAAAGCCTAATTAACATGTTATCCCCAGCACCAAAATGCCCTGCTTTCGTTTACCCACCAGGAATGAGTAAACATTACGTGTTCCTAATTCAAAAGCTTAATTACTTTGGGTAGATTTTGTATGACCTCAGCTGAGAGGATATGGATGATACACAAGAGTGCCTGAACGAAGTAAAGATAGTTTGGGCTCATTTGATCAAACGAAGTGTGCCCGAGAAATAACGACAAATTTTCACTTGTAGAATTGGATATCGTGCGTAGAAATGGGAATGGAATGCTAGTACGGCGTGCTCTGCTTTGGCCGATAAAAACCTATTTGATCCTCTAATGTGCAGCAGTGAAAGCACTTAAAATATCTTACTGATCGGTGATCAATGAACTGGAACGATGCATATTCAATGACTGGGAAGAATTTCTTGAAATTTCCTTATTTGTGCCGATGGTTTCGGTTTCAGGATTTCTTTTAAGCATAACAGAGGCGAAACATTCATCAAAATAGCCTAATAATTCATCCAACTTCACCTCGGGCAAATCGAAAATTACATGTCCAGCGCTATTTACCAACACCGCATATAGTCGAATGGACACAGCCGTAGATTTTTCTTGCGTATCATTGTTTCTGACATGCAATTCAAAATATATTATATCACAAATTCATTCCTGGAGATATATGTCCAACAAGAAGTACTGAGTACTGATTATAATCACTCCATGGTCATAACCACTTTCCCTCTTCCAGCTTTCTTCTACAAAATTGAGTGCATCTTGTAGACTTTGTTACAGTGGAACTTTATCCAATTTCACATGTGCTGACTTATTGGAATTCTTTCATCTGGCCGCTAGAGGTTTGAGCAGGTTCCACTTCACCCAAGAAATTGCGCTAAAAACCGGAATTTTGTTGGAGCTGCGGTTGGATCCCACTCACATCAGCTTGCTAATGGCATTTCCCAGCTGACAAATGAATCAACGAATGAATAATCACTTTTTGTTCAAACTTCATTTCCTTCATTACTTCAGCGTACTGGCGTAAGTTTTGTGTGTTAGGATCAATATTTTTTTGAACCAGAGGGGTAAGTGCCACACAGTAGAAGGAGTAGGCGCCATCTGTGCTCCGCTTGCCCTCCAAATTGTTTCAAACACGTGGCATCCTCTGTGTCCAGGACATAATTTGGATTCCAGACATGTGTGCACCAGAAGGCTGGAGCATTTGATCACCCAGCGTCATGTTGCAGTGGTCTGAGTCTGGTCTGCGGGTTATTTTGAAACAGCAGAGAGCAGCTTTGTCCAGCCTTATGGATAGTAAACCAATTAAGTGGTAAATGACTGCGAGAAACAAAAAAATGTGGAACTATTCATGCGTCTCACCCTCACTTACAAGTTTAAAAATATAATGCATTGCTAATCAGCTGTTTATTAATTTTCGTTCACAGTGAGCTTGAAAAACAAAAATTATTTATTTAATCTAGCACCAGGTAATTAAATTGTTGTATCAGTTGAAGAACGTTTGTGTGAGAAATGATCCTGAAATTGATTCTACGGAATTGGACACCTCAGCACGTTGGCTTGAGTACGCACATAGTGAGCCTCTCCGTTTGCCTTGCCTGTACAACTCATTTCTCCGAAATCTTTTCACTGAGTAATCGTCTGAGTATGTGGATATGTGGTTTTTTAACTCAAAAAATTGGAAGTGATAGCGGTTCTCTTCTCAGCGCAAATAGTTCGCATCAACAGAGTTTTTTCTAAAATCTTACATACACGAATGATGTACTAAATAATCGCCTTCCAAAGAGGCTCAATTGTTGTGGACATCACAACAAATATACTTGAAAAATCAGTTTCCGCGTATGTGGTGTAAACCTGTGAGCACACGCATTGCCAAAATATCCACGGGAATAATCAGACTGGGGAAAACACCTCTCCGACTGCAGTTTGTGCCCCTTATGGTGTCGCAGTTGAGCGGGTTTGATTGATTTTTATTGTGCATTCTATTTTATCAGTGGATATTTCTACCGAGAAACATCTTTCGATTGTTGAGTTTAATAGTTTGTCAAACTTTATATATGGGCCAACTTACTGATTTGTGGTCATAAATAAGGGCTTATGGCTTCGCCGCCTGTATTTTTCGAAATACCTGCCGTGAATTCTTTCACCGCTTGGCACGGAAACATCGAAAAACAAAGCGTTTTGCTAGCACCTGAAACCACAATCATCTCGTTTAAATCCCAACCATGGGACAGCGTTCTCTGGTACGACTGGATGTCGTTTTTGAGTATTCAGTCCGTTTGTCCAAGTGACTGGTCGTATTTACGGGCAAATTCAGAAGACGGATAAACTGCTTCCCACATCAAGAGCCTAAACAGTGTTTAGCGCACGACTCGGATAATCCAACTTAATTCGATCAGGCAACATTGAAGTTTGTTCGTTTCGTTACATCTCCATCGAACTTCCTCTGGGCCAATAAGTTCACCCAAATGTGGGTTACATCTTTCAACGAAGTGCGCCCAGGGGTCAAAACGGATCACGTCATCGAGTACTAGCACATGTGCAATCCATTGCGCAGAAACATGATTGATAGAGTTTAAGAAAACACAGGACAATTTTTTCATCTGCTTCTCTTGAAGGAATGTTTGATTTCAACTGGGATCACTTGACTAAGCAATATAAAGATTCATTCATACTGACATAACTATCCACCCCCCTACATGTCAACATCTACTCGTTCATTAATGGCATTCACAAAAACACATCACGCAACGCATTCTGTGAACGGTAGATTAAATTCACCGCTGATAGACACTTTCTGTTTTTATATGTTCAAGAAAGACCAACCCGTAAGTTCAAAGCTCTTCAAATAAGGGACTGCCTGTAGACGCATCACACTTTGTTTTGGAAACTTAAAGTATCCGTGCAAATTGGCGAGGCCTTAGACGGCTCAGTAGTAGTCAGCTCATTTCGTTAGTTGAATTTCAATCATGGCAAATGATGTGACATTTTTTCGGCCTTCATCAAATAAATCTTCTGTTCATCAGCATCAGCCAAGCGTAGAATTTACCGTGTTCAGTGTGAGCAGATCGGCAGCGAGGAACAAAGATTTGATTAATCTTGAAAAAGCTACTCACCGTTAGCGAAATACACCCATCTGCTTACGAATTTGGCTTTGACAAAAACTCACTTGGATCCCGGCTGAATCTCTCGTTTATGATGTAACAAGGTGATGATCATCTGGCGAAGTTGTATTTGATATGGAAAGATATATCCGTTCCAATGTATTAAGGAGGTAAGCAGCACTTTTCTTTTGTGACTACCAGCCAGACCAGCGATCAGTCACCAATTTAAAGATGGTATGGAAGAAATAGATAACCCTTTGTGGCTTATCGGTTTCTAGTGAACTCGGATATCTTACCCTAGTGTTTTTTCTATTTTCAAGTCAATTATCATTGTTGGGTAGAACGTAGCATACTATATTGGAGCGCTTGAACGGCACGTTGGTGCTGGCCTATCTGTTTGTGAAATTACCCTGGCCGGTCACATTCGGGTTTTTCTGGTTACTGGGATATATTAGGGATATGCGCATATATGTTATGGCCCCACAGTTTATTAAGCTGGCCGCTTACGATTACAGTGTATTCAAACTGACACACACTCAACAACCGAAAGAGTAAGAGTAGCGAAAACTAATGAAATACCACGTAGTTGTCGTTCCCCTCTAGGGGCAAAGCTTATCACGCAGGTTGAGTGGGGACGAAACGTCCACTCGATTTTTGTTTTCAAGCCATTCGTGGTACCAACGCAAACTCGTTAGCTCTAATCGCAGCGACGTTCGAAAAAAATTCAAATTCCTTGGATACCTGCAGTTGAACCTCAGGAACATTTAGAGGAACTTCTTGAATTGCTCATTGAATTCCGGTTGGTGTATTGTTAACTGGATTGCTTATCAAATATACACTTTGGAATTCACATCATATAAAAGCATCAAAAATTCACTGGCTTCAAATCACTTGACATGCTTAGAAATAGGATATTTTTGATAACACGGCCCATAAGTTTCTAATACGTTGTGGTATTGGCCAGACTACACACGCACAAAGCGCATCGACAATGAGACGTATTGACTAGAATCACTGTGTTGTCCGAACCACTCTTCCTCTTCCAGCTTCCTTTTACCCAATTCAGTGCAACATGTACTTTTCACATGTGCTGACTTATTGGAATTCCTTCATCCGGCTGTTAGAGTCTTGAGTTATCTTGACGAAAAGCTCATATATTTCGACAAATACGGAAGCGATGACCAAACTGCAGTGCTTTATACAGGATTGTTGCGATTGTTGCATAACAGAAAAAGACAAACGGGAAACAGCGGGACCTACCGAGCACAATCTGTCATATTTATCTGCGACTGTTGACCTTCAGCTTGGAAGTTCATTGGTTATTCATAATGCTGCCATGTTGGTATTGGATTTGCCATGTCACATGTGCACGAGCTACGATGGAGTCTAATCATTTGATCTGGTTGCTGTTTATTCGGCAAATTGCTTGAGCTGTGACCTCAGAATTGACACCTGGTTGGTTTCGTTTGTGAACTGTCTAAAATACGGCGCTGCTTGTAATGGCCAGCAGGACGGTTGAAGTTCAAAATAAATGAGTAGGATTCTTCGACACAAGAGCCGCAATTTACGCTCCTGCTCACAAGAGAAGTAAATTGCCGATTCACTATATCAGGTCACTGCGCGCACTGGTCTTGTAACTTCAGTTCTTGTAAAAAGGATAACAAAATGTAGCCAAAAGAGACCAACAATATAAACCGCGTCCTTTGAAATAAGAGATGGATATCTAGCGGTTTGTCACGTGCTTCATTGCTAACGGGCGGATAACAGTTGACATCAACTGTGGAGAGAGACTGACTTAAGCTATGCAAAATCATTCCGAACTCACTTTGCCCTGTCCGATCGGACAGGATCCGACCGGACTGTATAGGAACCTTGGATAGCTGAATAGTCTTCGGTATTATCCGCGAAATTTACCGACTGACTTAATGCAAAATCATTCCGAACTCACTTTGCCCTGTCCGATCGGACAGGATCCGACCGGACTGTATAGGAACCTTGGATAGCTAGCTAGTCTTCGGTATTATCCGCGAAATTTACCGACTCTTTTTTTCAGTTTATTGTTATATTTCCCAAAACGCTGTATCGAATTATCTAACGCACGTACTAGGTGGGAACAAGTGGCTCGCCGGTGCAAAGCATCGCATTTGGAAATCTACAATTTAGAAATTCTTCACTAATTAGGCTGGTTGACCTCATTTAATATTCACAATGTGTTTTACCCGACGAAATGTCAACGCAACCTAGGTAGTCTAATCCATGATCACACTGCGACACCAAAGGGACATTGTGGTCCCGGTACCAGTTACCATTCACTAAAATAGGACTACCATTTCGACGGTACACCGTGTGTTGCTAACATTCGGTAACAAATATTACATTGCGTTTTCCATCACAACCCTAATGGTTGATTGCCCACTTCCGTTTCCCACTCAATACAGTTAGGAAACTTCAGTCTCAAAATTCCCCGTGGAAGAAATTACTACTAACAATTTTGGATATTTTGTGGCGTGTCCGGCCAGCAAAATTGTACTTCCGTGTGACAATGTAGACAGATCTGAGTGAAATATTAAACTCTTCAATGAAGCGTTAATTTCCAGGTGGTCTGTAGAAGATACACAATAAATGGATTATTGGTCTAGATCATCAGGGCACACTTGTTTACCTACAAAAAATGTGTGCCACGGCGGTTAAGTAATATTTAGCCCGTTGTTGGCACTCACCAGCATCCGAGCATGGATGTTATTCCAAGTCCAGACTGAAACATTTTGTTACTCCCACCAAATGAACTTTGTCGTTCACTGATATGTCAGCGGACAGGTAACTTCAAGGCTAGGACAGGCACCAAGACAATTGCACTCATTAGCTAAGTGTTTGCGCATTTGGTAAGATTTACATGGTAAATTCCCTCTTTCGCTCTTTCAAAGTTAACAACCTCTTAATTTTGCCGTCCATAATGTTTAAAATAACAGCTCCTTCTGGTAAGATACGGCGCCAATTTTAATCCAGACCAATTTAACAAGTTGTCTAACCCAAACAATTTTTGTCACTGCACGACACTGGTCGCTGTAACTAGAACTAGAATTATCTTGCTTAATGCAATTAAGGTTTTCTTACTCCAGCATCTCATCTCAACACATATTATACGGGTACATTCTGACACATAATCGAACTTGTGAGTATTTTCCTTTAGGAAGCTATACTTCGATGCTTGGAATGTCGCACCAACTGAAACATGAAGCGGCCTGTGAGCCGCACCTTCCCCTGTGGAGTATTATAAACGAGAAATTCAGTTGAGTCTCTCGTGAAAACCCAATTGATCTGCAAACAGGTGTTTCTCGAAAACAGTCCAATTTGGGTTAAAGTTGAACATAAGGTTAATAAAAACTCGTGGACTACGCCTAACTGATGAGCCCCAAGAAGCGGCCTGTCGTGTAGTTTGCTTCATGAAAATATACATGGCAATATCAGATC